CTGCTATCTCTAGCACCTGTCACAATACTGACACATATTAAGTGTTCAATAGATAACTGCTGGATGACTCAATCAATGAACAAGTGAACACTAAATGCCTAAATGTACCAAGCTCTGTACTCAATCCTGGGAATACAAAGATAATTAAGACTGGATCTCTGCTCTCAAGGAGTTCAGAGTCAGGGGGCAAAGACATAAACAAAAGTTCAAAAGGTGCTGAGTGGTGGGATTGATTTTCAACGTCTGCCATGGACACAGAGTTGGAGGAATAATGCTGAGTGCTGTGGCACTCGATCTTGACACTTAACCTTGACACCTGGTTATCATTAGGTCATATTTGCTATTCACCCAGAAGTGCCTTTGCCATGCTTAAGAGTTTGCACTTTAGCTCCGGTTTCAATCCGGGCAATAATTCTTCTATAAAACTTTTTTAAGTTTTGTGTTTTAATAGACACATAATAATTGTACATATTTGTGGGGTACAGTGAAAATAGACTACACTTTTGTTTGCTTGTTTGTTTGTTGAGAGAGGATCTCACTTTGTCACCCAGGCTGGAGTGCAGTGGTACAAATATGGATCACTACAGCCTCAACCTCCTGGGCTCAAACAATTCTCCTACCTCCGCTCTGCAAGTAGCTGGGACTACAGGTGAATGCCACCACACTGGGCTAATTTTTTATTTATATTTTTGTAGAGTTGGGGTTTCACCATTTTGCCCAAGCTGATCTTGAACTCCTGAGCTGAAGCCATCTGCCCACCTCACCCTCCTGGGATTACAGGTGTGAGCCACCGTGCTGGGCGGATACACTTTTATGTGTCTGCAAAGTAGGGCTATGTGAACTCCCTTCCTCCCCAGTGACTCCAGGGTTCTGCAGGAAGAATCAGTTTCCAGTAGCAGGACTTTAAGTAACAGTTAGGGACCTGGCAGAGGATAAAAGGTCAAGGGACTGGAATCGGGTGCCACCTGGTGGCCTGAGTTGAGCTTACTTGCTTTTCAGCACCAGCGAGCAAGGAGAGTTTGCCTTTTTTTTTTTTTTTTTTTTTTTTTTTGAGACAGAGTCTCACTCTGTCATCCAGGCTGAAATGCAGTGGTGTGATCTCAGCTTACTGCAGCCACAGCCTTCTGGGCTCAAACAATCTTCCCACCTCAGCCTCCTGAGGAACTGGAACTACAGGCATGCCACACTTTGCCTGGCTAACTTTTTTTTTTTAATTTAGTTGGGGTTTTGCATGTTTCTCATGCTGGTCTTAAAGTCCCAGGCTCAAGTGATCTGCCCGCCTCAGCCTCCGAGGGTTCTGGGAGAGTTTACTCTTTGCTCTACCTGTTTCTCTGCATTTAGTGAAAAGCATTCATCAGTACTCGAAACCAGTAAGTATGCCTAGAGAACTAGGAAAGAGACAGAATTAGTATGTCCATAGGAGGAAAGGATAGCCAGGTTCATAGAAAATCCCAGACAAGCTCACCCATAGCAGGCGGTCTTGGGGTGGCCAGGCATGGCTTGGACTTGGAATGAAAGGAAAACTCTCAGGTGCAGGCTGAATTTCTAAACTGGAATAGGTTTGCCCATCGTAAGAGGTGGTGTAACCAGAGGGAGGAATCCCCTCATATTTCATCAGAACTGCCTTCATAGATGCTCTACAGATTCTGGTGCTCGTTTTCCATGGAGACAATCAGTTCGAGCCTCCATGCCACTGATATTCCTTTTGTTCTTTACCAGATATAGTTGTCTCTCTTTCTGATTCTCAGTCGTCACTCTGAAACAATCTCAAAGCCTAATTTGCACAAACATGACACTGGTTGAGTATGAGCAATCTTACCTCTACTCTGAATACCCACTTTTTAAATGCAGTAACAGAAAGATTCTTAGAGGAGGCAACCCTGAGTTAAATCTTAAGAGATTACAAAGAGTTAACCCAGGGCCAGGAACAGTGGCTCATGCCTGTAATCCCAGCACTTTGGGAGGATGAGGTGGGAGGGTCATTTGAGTCCAGCAGTTCAAGACCAGCCTGGGCAACATGTCAAACCCCACCTCTACAAAAAATGCAGACATGCATGATGGCACACACCTATAGTCACAGCTACTTGGGAGGCTGAGGCAGGAGGATTGCCTGAGCCCAGGAGGCAGAGGCTGCAGTGAGCTGAGATTGCACCACTGCACTCCACCCTGGTTGACAGAGCAAGACTCTGTAAAAAAAAAAAAAAAAAAAAAAAAAAAAAGGTATCAGGTATCTGGTCAAAGAGACGGGGAAAGAGGAAGTCTATCAGTTGTTAAGGTCTTCTTTGGCCGTAGCCCTTCTAATGCATGGAGACTCCAGCCGAAGATATATTGCATTTATTCAAATACAGTTCACATTAAATATAAATGATATTTAACTATGACAGGGGTTGAGTTGCAGTGACTTATAACCATAATGTTACTTTTTGTAGGCATGTACTAATTTTAATTATTCAAGATTTTTTGGTATGTGTTTTGAAGCCAATACATTTTTTTTAAACCTCAGGTCTATATAGCACCTGATGAATAAAACAGCATAGCACTGAGTGGTTCAGAGTTACTGAGGTTAAAATTCGAGGTAGAGAACGATGGGTTGAGAGCAGAGAAGAAAGTGGGAACCAGGGCGCAGGAAGGCTCATGTGCCATGTAAGTGACTTGGACTTTATTGCAGCACTGCATAATGTTAATTATTAGTATTAACAGTATTCATTTACTTACAAATACTTATTGAGCCTGGAACTGTTCTAGACAAAACGGAATCTCTACCCTCAAGGCACTTACATTATCACTAGTCATTAAAGAATTTTGATCAGGAGAGTGTCTCCATCAGACATGCCTGTAACATAGCTCACACTGGGATGGTATAGAAGTTGGATTGGAGAGGGTCGAGACTGGATACAGGGAGACTCGTTAGAAGGCTGATGCAGAAGTGAGCAGAAGTGAGCCATAGAAAGCTAAGAGGAAAAGCAAGATGCGAAAAAGAGAGCTCTGGGATGGGCCTCAGGAGATCTGAGTCCCAGTAACAAATCTGCCATTAATATTTCTTCTCTTTCAGCCTCAGTTCTCCATCTGCAAAATCAAGGCATCTTCCTTATTCATTACTATTTCTTCATAGTACTGTTATTATTGCATAGAAGAATCAAGTGTGTATATTGGGAGGATTACTTAGGGATCAGCCCTTGGCAAAATGGGAAAACAGACAATGTTGGCTTTAGTTTTTATGAATATACCCATAAAATATCAAGCAATGGGACACACTGTAACTCAGTCTTACCAGGCTGGGAGAGGGGTCAGGGAGGAGGGCTCCCCTCTACTTGGACCTACAGCAAGTGCTCTGTTGATACTGAAAAAGAATATCAAGGACACTATGTTCTGTTCTAACTGTTAGCATTTCTCTTCCCAATAAAAATGGTTCATATTTCAAGTGATAAGGATATGCTAAGTACAGTTCTAAGCATTTTATGTGCATCATTTCATTCAATTTTCATGACAGCCCTGTGAGGCAGGTATTGTTCTTTTTTATTTTTATTGTTTAATGGACATATCATAATTTTACATACTCATGGAGTACATAGTGATGTTTCAATATGTATCAATGTATAGTGATCAGATCAAGGCAATTCGTGTGTCTATTATCTCAAACATTGTCGTTTATTTGTGTCCAGGGTGTTCTGTCTTCCCTCTAGCTATTTGAAACTATACAATATATTATGTTAACTACAGTCATTTCACATATTCTTATTCATATGTCATAGTTGAGAAAATTAAGATCCAGAGAGATTAAGTGAATCTATAGAGTTAATAAGAGGCAGAAATGGGGTTCAAACCCAGGCATCTTACTAACAATTATACTGTACCTTTCACATCAGACAGATTTCTTAGCTAATGCTTCCCTTATGTGCTACAATTGAACAGCTTGAAAAACGGTGTGAGTAGTAATGCTGCCTTCTGAGGGGTGTGGCCTAGACTGAGCATAGGATTTGGCATCAAGTACACTGGGATTATAAGGGCTCAGGGAAGTTACAAGGCTGAGTTCAGAGCTAGAAGGCTGAAAATTGTTTCTTAAGATTGTTCTGGCTGGGCGCGGTGGCTCACTCCTGTAATCCCAACACTTTGGGAGGCCAAGGCGGGTGGATCCCAAGGTCAAGAGATCGAGACCATCCTGGTCAACATGGTGAAACCCTGTCTCTACTAAAAATACAAAAATTAGCTGGGCATGGTGGTGCGTGCCTGTAATCCCAGCTACTCAGGAGGCTGAGGCAGGAGAATTGCCTGAACCCAGGAGGCAGAGGTTGCAGTGAGCCGAGATCGCGCCATTGCACTCCAGCCTGGGTAACAAGAGCGAAACTCCGCCTCGGAAAAAAAAAAAAAAAAAAAAAGATTGTTCTACATTCCAAGTTGCCAATATTAAGTCCTGCATAGCAAACATACTTGGGGTACCCACCCTGGTTACCATTCCAAGCCCTAAACTATTCCTGCTCTGCTTCTTAAGCAGCAAAATATAGAGATAGAAGATGTAATAGAATTCAATGTCTTCCCAATTTTATTTGTGTGTGTGTGTTTTATCTTTATCTTTTTTTTTTTTTTTTTTTTTTTTTGACAGGGACTCTGATACCCAGGCTGTAGTACAGTGGCGTAATATTGGCTTGCTCACTGTAGTCCCCACCTTCCAGGTTCAAGCAATTCTCCTGCTTCAGCCTTCTAAGTAGCTGGGACTTACAGGCACATGCCACAACTCTCAGCCAATTTTTTCATTTTTTCAGTAGAGTCGGGGTTTCACCATGTTGGCCAGGCTGGTCTCAAACTCATGACCTCAAGTGATCTGCCCACTTTGGCCTCCCAAAGTGCTGGGATTATAGGTGTGAGCCACCATGCCCGGCCTTGTGTGTTTTTTTAAATAGTGACTTTCAAACTAAAAATATCCTCTTTCTTTTTGGTTTCTTTCTACTAAGACTGTTGTTTTTAAATTTACCCTCCTTTAAACTTTTCTTGTTTTCTTTTAGATTCCGCCTCGCTTTGCCAGAGTCCAATCGCAGCAATATTGAGGTAGGAGTCCGAGCTCTTGGGGTTACCTGTCACTGGAAGAATGAGGATTCTCCTACTACATATAATAGCGAGTTGATTGTTTTCTGTGCCTCGGAGTCCTTGATTTCTCCATAACTGTAGGACCTAACTTTGAAATTCTGTATGTAGCTACTCAACAGTTGAGCCCATTAACCATTCAAGAGAGGAACTCTATGGTTTACTTTTATTTATACAGAAATACTTTTTTAAAAAAACTCAGAAGACTGTTGGGACATTGTATAATGCTAGAACAACAGGCATTCTCAGGAAATGCCTGTTTTCTCAATACAATAATCCTCTAGAGTTAATTTATAGACAAGAATCCCAAAGGAATATGTAAATTGTTAGGCAATGATTAGGTTTACTTTTTGAACACTTTCTGCCCATCTCCTAAAATTAGGTCAAAGTTGCCTATATGGATCCCTTTGTGGGAGGGGTATTCCCAGCCTGGTGACTTCCTGATTGGAAGAGGGCACCCCAACATTCAACCTGAAATCCCCCTTCCCTCAAGTTTCAGGAAGATCAGCTAAATCACTACCTCATACATTCATGGATGCCACTATCACAGAGAATTTATGTGGATTTTGGTGTCAGAATGCCCTGATAGAATAGTGCCTAGTTCATGGGCAGCACTACATAATGTTAATTATTAGAATTAACAGCATTCATTTACCTACAAATACTTATTGAGGCTGGAACTGTTTTAGACAAAACGGATAAAATCTCTACCCTCAGGGTACTTACATTCTAAAGCAGTGGTTCTCAACTAGTGATTCTCACCTAGGAACATTTGGCAATGTCTGAAGACATTTTTGTTTGACATGGCCTGGGATGGCAGGAAAGATGCTAATGATGCTTGATGGGTAGAGGGCAGGGATGCTTCTAAACATCTCACAGTGCTCTCAACAACAAAGAATTCTCCATCCCAAAGTGGCAGAGTGCCACTCTTGGGAAATCCTTTTCCAGAGTGTGTGTGATTGTGCTTACATGTGTGTGACAGGCTGAGAATAGCAGACAACAAACAAATATATATTGTGTGTACCTAAAAAAAACGCTGTAGAGAAAAGGAAATCAGAATAGGCGGGGCAAGTAGGTAAGGAGCTAGGAAATTACAACCTTGGGGTGTTGAAAGGATTAGCTGAGATTATACAAGAAATGCACTTAGTACATTGACTACATAGTAGGCCATAGTGGCCACTGTTTTCATATTTACAAAAACTAGTTATTGTCACTTCTGTGTTTTCATATTCACAATAACTATTTCAGTTATTGCCATTTTTATGTCAAGAGGCAGTGTAGCATAATAGTTTCATACATAAACTCTGAGGCCAAACTACAAAAGTGAATTCCCACCATATTAGTCCATTTTCATGCTGGCGATAAAGACATTCCCTGAACCGGGAATAAAAAGGAATTCAATTAGATTTCCAGTTCCACGTGGCTGGGGAGGCCTCAGAATCATGGCGGGAGGTGAAAGGTACTTCTTACATGGCAGTGGCAGGAAAAAATAAGGAAAAAGCAAAAGCAGAAAGCCCTGATAAACCCATCAGATCTTGTGAGACTTATTCACTATCACGAGTATAGCACAGGAAATACCAGCCCCCATGACTCAATTACATCCCTCTGGGCCTCTCCCACAATATGTGGGAATTCTGGGAAACACAATTCAAGTTAAGATTTGGGTGGGGACACAGCCAAACCATACCATTCCTCCCCTGGCTCCTCCAAATCTCATGTCCTCACATTTTAAAACCAATTATGCCTTCCCAACAGTCCCCCAAAGTCTTAACTCATTTCAGCATTAACCCAAAAGTCCACAGTCCAAAGTTTCATCTGAGAGAAGGCAAGTCCCTTCTGCCTATAAGCCTGTAAAATAAAAAACAAACTAGTTACTTTCTGCATACAATGGGAGTACAGGTATTGGACAAATACAGCTGTTCCAAATACACCTGTAACCAAAACAAAGGGGTTACAGGGCCCATGCAAGTCTAAAATCCAGTGGGGCAGTCCAATTTTAAAGCTCCAAAATAATCTCCTTTGACTCCAGGTCTCACGTCCAGGTCATGCTGATCCAAGAGGTGGGTTCCCATGGTCTTGGGCAGCTCTGCCCCTGTGGCTTTGCAGGGTACAGCCTCCATCCTGGCTGCTTTCACAGGCTGGCATTGGAGGTCTGCAGCTTTTCCAGTCAGCACAGCACAAGCTGTCAGTGGACTGCCATTCTGGGGTCTGGAGGATGGTGGCCCTCTTCTCACAGCTCCACTAGGCAGTGCCCCTGTAGGGACTCTGTGTGGTGGCTCTGACCTGACATTTCCTTCTGCACTGCCCTAGCAGAGTTTCTCCATGAGGGCTCTGCCCTGCAGCAAACTTTGGCCTGGGCATCCAGGCATTTCCATACATCTTCTGAAATCTAGGCGAAGGTTCCCAAACTCCAAATCTTGACTTCTGGGCACCCACAGGCTCAATACCAACCTGGAAGCTGCCAAGACTTGGGACTTCCACCCTCTGAAGCCACAGCCTGAGCTCTACATTGGTCCCTTTCAGCCATGTTCAACAGAAACAGTTACAAGACAGGAATAGATCTGGAGAAAAAAGCCAAAAGAGAATTTAACCAAGAAGCCAAATGAGATGTACATATGTCTCAGTAGATTAGTGCCTAGTTAATGGGCACTATTCAAGTGGGAGGATCACTTGAAGCCAGGAGTTCAAGACCAACCTGGGCAACACAAAAAGTCCTCATCTCTAATAAAACAAGTTAGCCAGGCTTGGTGGCACACTCCTATAGCCCCAACTATTCAGGAGGCTCAGGCGAGAGGTTTCCTTGTGCCTGGGATTTTGAGGCTGCAGTGAGCTATGACCTATCTCCAAAAAAAAAAAAAAAAAAAAATTAAGATATTTCCTTGTTTAATTTTAGGAAAGCATCCTGATTTTTAGGTTGAGAAGATTAGGAGCCAGGAGTAACAATGTTAATAAGCTTGAAAATAAGTCATACCTTTCATACCAGACATTGAGGTCTAAAATATTATTGACTAGTGCACTGCTGGTTAGCAACCCCAGAGCATAGCTATTTCACTAGATGACAGACTGTCGTCCATGGGAATGCATAGCTGACTGCCTCACAAATAGTACTTCCTGAGTCCAGAGAGGAGGCAAAATGAGCCCAGGGCTTCCAGGAAGATCCAGCTTAACTGCTTAGTATCAACAGCAGAGTGTGCTGTAGCATTTTAGAAAAAAATGACGATGGTATACATCAAGCGTTTCACATAATGTTAACTTATTTAATCCTGACAACAACCCTATGAGATTAGTAGTATTATCTTTATTTTATGGTTGAAGAAATTAAGACACAGAGAGGTTAAGTAACTTTCCCAACATCATATAGTTAGTGAGTGGTAAAACGAGAGGTAAACCCAGGAAGTCTGACTTTAAAGACACCCTTAAGCTGCAAAGATGTTCTTATTATTGCTAAGTGTATATGATGCTCAAAAAATGTTCATTGATGAATTAGTGTTCATTGTAGTCCATTTAATACCTGAATCTTCCCAAGATCAAACATTTTGCTTACATTATACGACTATCATAGTTTATTAAAGATAAATTGGGGTCAGGCGTGGTGGCTCACGCATATAATCCCAGCACTTTGGGAGGCCAAGGTGGGCAGATCAGCAGTCAGTAGTTTGTGGCAGCCTGGCCAACATGGTGAAATCCTGTCTCACTAAAAATCCAAAAATTAGCCAGGCATGGTGGCGTGTGCCTGCAGTCTCAGCTACTCAGGAGGCTGAAGCATGAGAATTGCTTGAACCCAGGGGGCGGAAGTTGTAGTGAGCTGAGATGGTGCCACTGCACTCCAGCCTGGGTGACACAGTGAGCCTCCATCTCAAAAACTGTAAATAAAATAAAATAAAATAAAATAAAATAATTTTAAAAAGATAAATTGGGTGTTCTGGGGATGGCATTAGCTTTGGGCATGATGTAATACAAGAGAACTCCTGTGCTGAGATTCCCAGTAAGTAAAAGGAAGATTGCTAATTGAGAAATTAATAGTTGTTCTTGATTGTCTTGGTAGACATCTGAGCTGCCACGTTTGCTGCCACCATGTGGTCCCTCTGAATTTACTATCACCAAAATCCACTGCAGAGGGAAGCAGAAGTGTCCATCCTCAAGAGGAAAAAAGTTAGAAAACCCTGTAATATGATTTTCTACAAACCTAGTATATCCCTCTGAGAAGATCCTAGTTATTGCTTTCTATCCTGATAAGTTCTGGGAAAGTGCACATCCAAACCAGGCATAGTCCTTTAGAAACACCCATGATTGGTCAGGCGTGGTGGCTCTCACCTGCAATCCTAGCACTTTGGAAGGTCAAGATGGGAGGTTCGCTTGAGCCCAGGACTTTGAGACTGGGCAACACAGTGAGACTCTGCCTCTAAAATTGTTTTATTAAACTTAGCCAGTTGTAGTGGTGCACACCTGTAGTCCCAGCTTCTTGAGAGGATGAGGCAGGAGGATCGCTTGAGTCCAGGAGTTCAAGGCTGGAGAGAATCTCTACCACACTCCAGCTTGGGTAACAGAGCAAAAAAAAGCCCGATTTGGCAACTGATTCTATTTCCTCTTTTATTTTAGGTCTTGAGGTTTGAAAATATTCTGTCCTCTATTCTTCACTTTGGAGTCCTCCCACTGGCCAATGGTAAGGGATTATTGGGAAACAATGTGACTAACATCGGCTCACATCTAACATCTGCATCAGCTGCACTGGGGATTGTTTGGGACTTTCCAGCCTGAAGCTTGTACATCTATCATGTTATAATGAATCCAGGCCAGCCAAAGTTTGTACCATCAATGACATGGTTGCACAGTTAGTTATTCTAGGTCCAAGCCCAGTTAGCAATTCTATTTGCAAACTCAGCAAGATTGGCTAACTCTGGTTAAGTTAAGGAGATTGAAACCACTGCTCCTTAGGCAGTAAAGAATCTCCTTCCAGTCAACTGGAAATGAGATCATTTTCCCTACAGGATTTTTATGTCGTTCTTACGCAAGGACCCCTAACTGGATAGACACAGTTTTCATGAATGACAATCCTGGGCCTTCTCCTTGCACAGCAGTTATTCACAAACTGTAGCATCTTGAGTCTGGCCAGTGAAAATATTTTTTATATTAGACACCAAATGTTCTTAAGACTCACTAATCAGGTATTTTCACAACATACATTGGGCAGTTTAAAAATGGACAGCATTTCTCTGCTGTCCAAATGAACATAATTGTAGGTGCATTTTTATTGATCAAGGATTAATGAGCAATTCTTCCAGGAAAATTCTAAGGACATTATCAGAGAGAATGCAAATGTGGAACCAGAGACAATCAAAAGATCAACTATTAAAAAGCTGTCTGGGCTGGGCGCAGCGGCTACGCCTTTAGTCCCAGCACTTTGGGAGGCCGAGGCAGGTAGATCACTTGAGGTCAGCCTGGCCCACATGGCAAAACCCCATCTCTACTAAAAATACAAAAAAAAATTAGCCAGGGATGGTGGTGGGCACCTGTAATCCCAGCTACTCAGGAGGCAGAGGCAGGAGAATTGCTTGAACCTGGGAGGCAGAGATTGCAGCGAGCCAAGATCATGCTATTGCGCTCCAGCCTGGGCAACAAGAGCAAAACTCTGTCTTAAAAAAAAAAAAAAAAAGCTATCAGTCATTCTCTTTCTAAAAAGCTTTATAAAGCCTCTTGTGTTGAGGCCGGGCGCGGTGGCTCAAGCCTGTAATCCCAGCACTTTGGGAGGCCGAGACGGGTGGATCACGAGGTCGAGAGATCGAGACCATCCTGGTCAACATGGTGAAACCCTGTCTCTACTAAAAATACAAAAAATTAGCTGGGTGTGGTGGCGTGTGCCTGTAATCCCAGCTACTCAGGAGGCTGAGGCAGGAGAATTGCCTGAACCCAGGAGGCGGAGGTTGCGGTGAGCCGAGATCGCGCCATTGCACTCCAGCCTGGGTAACAAGAGCGAAACTCCGTCTCAAAAAAAAAAAAAAAACCCTCTGTGCTTGTCCCCAATTATTTTACATCTTGTTCTACATTTCAGCAAAATTGCAGCAAGGATTTCCACTGCCCAATCCACACAAAATTTCATTCGTCAATTCAGATATTGAAGTTCTTGAGGTAAGAATGCAAATCTCGCCTCTTAACTGACCCATTTCTTTTCATAGTAGACTAAGCCTGCTCCTGTTTTGCTTGTTTTTGTTGTTGTTTATTTTTGCCCTGCTTTGCTTTTTCCCAGACGAAGGAATTTTATAAACATGTTTAACTCTTAAATAACAATTAACAGAAAGCATTTACAATTGAGTTTAAAAATCAGACCAAGATCAATTTCACTTAGCAGCCAAATTCACAGTATAAGAAGATGCCCTTTAGCATGCTTTATTTTACTTATTCCATAAGACAACCTGTAAGGCTGGGATTATTAGTCCCATTTTACAGATGAGGAAAGTAGGACTCAGAGAGAAGCAGCTCAGGCAGCTGGAAAGGAGCGTGGCTGGGAACAGGACTGGCTCTTCTGATTCTCCCAGTCAGGTGACTTTTTCCTGAACCAAAGACACACCTCTGAGTTCAGGGATCGAACTGTTTTCTAGCTGATCGTATGAATTAACTTCAGAATACCTTTTTTTTTTCTTTCTTATTGGCATTGTTGTTTGTTTAGGGAGGTGGAAATATGTTTCTAAAGAAATTCTCCAATCCCATACAGTCCAAGGGTCCCCAATACCCAGGCCCAGGACCTGTCTGGGTCTGTGACCTGTTAGGAATCCAGTTGCACAGTTGGAGGCGAGTGACCGAGGAGCGAGCATTACCGCCTGAGCTCCGCCTCCTATCAGATCATCAGCAGCATTAGCTTCTCATAGGAGCACAAACCCTACCGTGAACTGCGTATGGGAGGTATCTAGGCTGCACGCACCTTGTGAGAATCTAACTAATGCCTGATGATCTGAGGTGGAACGGTTTCATCCCGAAACCAACCCCCAATCCCAGTCGGTGGAAAAACTGTCTTTCATGAAACCTGTCACTGGTGCCAAAATGGCTGGGGGCTGCTGCCCTATGCTACTGTGCATGCCCTCTCACCTCCCTGCTTCTAAATAGCTAAGTCACATCAGGTGACAGTACTCCAAAATGGCCTTTCCTTTGTCTGGGGTGTTCACAAAGCAGGGCAAGGGTAGAGGAGGGCCTGACTCTGTAGGATCCTGGTAAAGAAACCATCTCTTAGACGGGCATGATGGCTCTACTTGTAATCCCAGCACTTTGGGAGGCTGAGGTGGGTGGATCACTTGGGGTCAGGAATTTGAGACCAGCCTGGCCAATATGGTGAAATCCCATCTCTACTAAAAATACAAAAATTAGCCAGGTATGGTGGTGCACACCTGTGGTCCCAACTGCTCAGGAAGCTGAGGCACAAGAATCACTCAAACCCGAGAGGTGGAGGTTGCAGTGAACCGAGATTGCACCACCACACTCCAGCCTGGGCGACAGAGTGAGGCTTGGTCTCAAAAATAAAAAATAAAACGACAGAAAAAGAAACCATCTCTTCCTCACCCCTCAGACAAACCCTGACATGCCCAAGGTTTGACATTATCTTCATTGCCACATTCTTTTCAGGGGTTCCTTTTGATTTCCACCGACCTGAAGTATGAAACATCCTCAAAGCAGCATCCAAGTTTCCATCGTTGGGAAGGTCTGAACCTGATAAGTGGATGGTGGAGGGGGAAGTCAGCCCCTTGATTGCTGGTTTACGATTCACCCCAGGCAGTAAATGGTCCTTAATCCCACAACTACTGTAAACCCAGAAGGGGAAGACACTACACACTAGAATTGTAAAGCCCTTGTGAATTGCTTAAGCAGAAAGTTTTCTTTCTCAAGCCTTCAGGAACCTAGATTAAGGCAGACTGTGTTAAAGGGCTAAATAGAGGTGTCTGAATGTGAGTGTAAGTATGCTGTGTGTGCCTTTGTGTTTGTTCGTTTGTTTGGGACAAGAGCTAGGCATGTACTTCTGACCAGGTAGGTAAGAAACTGTAAGCCTAGTATTTGTATTGGTCATTCTCAGTGGAGATCCCTTAGGCCCTCCGTGGATTTTCCCCTGTCTACATATTGGATTTCACATTTTATATTCACTGTTACTGTCTTATGTGTTTAATTAAAATTGTTTTCTATCGATTTCAATCTTGCTTTTTTAAATTTGATAAATATCCTGCCCTGAAGTTTTTAAAAATACAATAAGACATAAAAAAAAGCAAAGAGACCGAGGTTGTACAGATGTCAAGGCTTGATTTTCAAAGAGAATTCTTTACCTCTGAAATCTTTCCAAAAATAAACAGGGTAACTACAGGAAACTCTAGAAGTTGCATCACTTCAAGTTTTAGGATTTTTCACCCTCAGCAGATTCAATGAAATGGCAGTGCAGAGTACTAAACCCAAACGATCCATAATTGATCATGATATTAATGTGTCAAAGCACCTAATCAACAGGGAGAAATCGGGGCAGAAGAGAAGAAAAGCAGAACCAGTGTAGATAATGTAAGAAATGAATGGCAACCATAAACTATTTTTGCAGCACTTTCAGTCTAGTGGGGGAATGGAAGGAGGAGCGTTGTGTATGGAGTGCTTGCCATGTGCCAAGCCCTGTGCTGATTACCCCTCCAGTCTCACTTCATTTAGTCTTCTACTCAAGAAAGAATTATGATCCCATTTTAGGGATGACGAAACAGAGCATAAGAGAGGTTAATCACACCAAGCCAATAAATGGCACAAATAGAAATTGAATCCAAGTCTTTCTAATCCCGAAGTTGCAGTTGTTTACGTGAGGCAGAACTCGAAACTGAAATCACTTAAAGCTCGCTTATCACTATGAACAAGAGACATGGCATATGCAAGCATGATCAAAGAGGTCTTGATCATTAAAGGAGGCTAGACTGGGAGTTCTAGTGATCCAGAAGGGCTGTGATTTGATCATTTTGTATTACATATCTGGCCATAATAGATGCACCCACAAGTGTTTGTTGGAATAAATGATAAGCTATCATACTTCATTCTTTGGGATGCTTCTTTCTGACAAAAAAAAAAAAAAAGTTATTTGATGTATATCCAGATTCATTCTGAAACATAAATGTTCAGCTATGGTATTTATTCAAACAGGTTTTCTTTCTCAGCTGCCGGCTTATCTGTTTCCCCTCCCTGCCCGGGGTATAAACTCCAAGCTGGTGCACTGGACCTGACCCAGACTCAAGGTATTTTCGTAAGCTGCTAAAAAGCATTTCCAAAACAAAACTAAAAACCCCTAGATTTCGCTTAGCTGTAGCTTAGGGGAAATTGACTAATAAAGATCCCAAAGGGAGGGAGAGGAGGGATAACATGGGGAGAAATGCCAGATACAGTATGCACCTAAATTTAATTAAACCAAAATAAATAAATAAATAAGATCCCCAAGGGAAACACTAGAGGGCAGTATAACTTAACCAGAGGAACGACATTGGCCTGAAGAGTTTCGAGCCTCGACGCTTGCCGTCGCTCATCCTGCTGCGTCGCCGGTCGCGCGTGCGCTGTGGTTCTTGGAAAGCAGCTGAAGCCGGACAACGCGGCGGCGGCTCTTCAAAGCGGAGCGCGTTTAGCTACCGTGGTCGCCGCCATGAGTCGCAACTATAATGATGAGCTGCAGTTCTTGGAAAAAATCAATAAAAACTGCTGGAGGATCAAGAAGGGCTTCGTGCCCAACATGCAGGTGAGGCGGAAGAGCAAACTGGTTGGGCCTTCCCTGCTCCTTCTCCCGCCCGGCCAGCGTCCAGCCGCGCCCTCCGGACCTCTCTCGACCACTGGGTCCGCCCCCGTCCCTTGCAAAGTTTACCTCATCCCCTCCTTCTCCCCTCACAGTTCTGGGACCGCCCAGCCTGTATGTCCCAGATGGAGACTTGAGGGCTCAGGACCTCCCGCCAGGAGAGGTCCCCGAACCACGAGGACAGCCTAAGAGCGATGTATATGGGGAAGCCAAATAAATACGAAATTGGGGTTTCCAAAGCGTTTTCATAGATCAGCCGCGTAAACGCTTCGTTGACGTTCCTGATCTTCAGAAACTTCAGGTGGGACTCCCGAGGTGGGACAGCCAGCCCCGGGTCCCATTGCTGGGACTGGAATTCACCTCCTCTGAGTCATGCTGGTTATTTATATAACGTTTACGGACCTTTGGTCACTGAACCAAGTTTTCAGTATTCAGTCTTCCATGTTGGTTTTTAATAAAGCCATGTCATTTCTTGCAGTAGCACAGGGCAGGGATTTTTTTTAATAGTCGCTTCACAGAAGGACCTCGAGGATCTGTCAGTGACACAGCTTCCTCTACCCACCTAGGAAGAATCTTAGCCAGGACTTGATGCCTGGTTCACTACTTTTTCCTCTGACGTCCCAGATGGAGACTTGAGGGCTCAGGATCATCAGATAGTTGAAAGCCTGGGCTCTGTTGTCTTTCAGGCTTCATCACCATCTGTGTTCATACTTTTTATTAATGTGAAAAAAGAAAACATTTGTGAAGTTTCGCAACTTATTTTTAAACAGTTTTTGAAATCCCTGAAGGTGCCAAGTCCGTCTTGGTAAACGGTTCCCAATAGCCACTCCACTCTTTCATTCAGAATCAAAGCTGTATTGAGTTTCCCTTGTTGGCAGGTCACTTACACTGAGGGTAGAAAAAGCCCACAGAGATGAATACATGTTCTGTTTCCTGTTTGGCCACTTCCTTTGTATGGAAACCGATTACCCTGAAGGAAGGAATAGAAAATCTAACTTGGGGGCAGCGCAGTGGTTCACGGTATGTAATCACTTTGGGAGGCCTGGCAGTGGTTCACGGTCTGTAATCACTTTGGGAGGCCTGGCGGGAAGATCCTTTGTGCCTGGGACATCGAGACTGGCCTGGACAATATAGTGGGACTCCGTCTCTACAAAAAAAAAAAAAAAAAAAAAATTAAATTGGCCAGGCGTGTTGATGTACACCTGTAGTCATAGCTACTTATTGAGGCTGAGGCAGGGGAATTGCTTGAGTCTGGGAGACTGAGGTGCAGTGAGCCATGATCATGCTAACTGCACTCCAGCCTGGGTGACAGAGTGAGTCTCCAAAAAAAAAAAAAAAAACCACACATGACATGATCGTCTGTAGGATATAATAACAGACTGTCATTGTCTGGCAGGTGTTCTGACTGAACCTTTGATGCTCACAGTGCTGCTCATTTTATCTAGGGGCAAGTCTAATTTTGCTTGGCAGTTCTGGGTTAAGTGTGTATGCAGCACTTTACTACCACCCATCCTTTGGGAATAGAGACTTGAAATGTTGATGCATTGCTCTTAAAACGCAATTGACGTCTAAGAATGAATTGTGTGTTCATCCTCATGGGAGCAGTGAATTTCACACTGATAATCATCTCTGTTACTAAATCTTCATTTCTCCCCCAAGACCCACATGTTGCACTAAAAATTTTTTTGTTCCCTTAAAATGCTCCCCTCCCATCTTTATGTCATTTTTGTGTTCAGTTCCTAGATGTTCTGCTGCACCAGTGAATGTCTCTTGTATTTAAAGAGCCAGCTCGGCAGGATCTCTGTGAAGCCTCTCCCAGCTTCCTCCTAGACAGTTGAGCCACATCCTCATCAGACTTTTTCATAGCACTGTGTACTTACATTATGGCACTTGTCTCATTACACTCTGATATTCTTATCGGAGTATAAGGGCTGTATTGTGCACTAGAAGCTCCTTGGAAGCAAGATCCTGTCATATCCTTTGTGTCTCCCCTAGTGCCCAGGACGGTGCCTCACGCATAGTAAATTCTCAGTGAATGTTTGGTGAATTAATAAATGTGACCCCTAAGAAATTGTACTGGAAACATTTTCCATCAATGGGTATCCTTATTTATGCAGCGGTGATAAAGTCATCTTTCTGATAAAAACTACATTCTGTTGATTAAGTGTTAAATTTTTGGTTCTTTATTACTGGACAGCTTCAAAATATCTGACCTGTGAGAAAAACGTTCTGCTCTTTATTGTTACTTAGCGGGTGACTTAAGTACGTCGTCCGTTGCCTTTTGTGTTCCACCTCTATTGTCAAGCTTTAAAATTACATAGTTTTTTAAAAATTTATTTATTTCTGGAGACCAGTCTTGCTATGTCGCCCAGGCTGGAGTGCAATGGCACGATCTCTGCCCACTGCAACCTCCCCCTCCTGGGTTCAGCAATTCTCCTGCCTCAGCCTCCTGAGTAGCTGGGATTACAGGCACGTACCACCATGACCAACTTTTGTATTTTTAGTAGAGACGGGGTTTCACCATGTCGGTCAGGCTGATCTCGAACTCCTGACCTCATGACCCACCTGCCTCCACCTCCTAAAGTGCTGCAGTTACCTGACGTGAGCCACCGCGCCCAGCCTATAGATTATTTTTTAAATTATATAGCTAATAGAACTAAGCTCACAACTACATAGCTGCATGTTAAATTTTTCTTCTCACTATTAACCTAACTAGAGATTTGTAAGTCATCACTAGAGCACAATAAAGTGTAATTTGCTATTGACTTAAACACAGAATAAGTATACTACGGTCAGATGACTTCATGAGAACCTGAGTTTTTATTCATCTGGGTTTTTTTGTTTCTGTTTTTATTTTTAAAAATCCATTGATGTTTTAGAAGCCTGAGGATTAAGACCTTTGGGCTGTGTGAGAGCATAGCTGGAAGGCTTTTCTTAATCACACAGAAAGATGTTTGATCTATTAAATTCTTAAATGTGGCTTTGAGACTATGAGAATAAACAAAACAGTTTTTGAACATTGCAACATTTTTCTTAAGGTGTATTTTAAGATGGGAGCAGCTCATAGTCTTCGATAGGAAGTTTTCTACATGCTTAAAGTAATGTGAAAGTGTTTCATAAAGTACAGAAAATATTACATACAGTATATTCTGTCCAGTACCTGTGCTTGCCATACATGTATTCAAACATTGTTTTTCACTTTCTTTGGTACCAGGTTGAAGGCGTTTTCTATGTGAATGATGCTCTGGAGAAACTGATGTTTGAGGAATTAAGGAATGCCTGTCGAGGTGGTGGTAAGTGCATTAGATTTTCCCTTGTGTTAGTGTAGTAGTGCCTTCCTGTGGCCTGAACAGTGGTAACTCAAGTAATTGTAATTTTAAAATCTTATCAAGGGGTGATTACAACTTAATATAAGACCAAAATAACTTACTTATTTGTGATCACATTGTTAGACGGTTGGCGTTATAGAACGATTTGAAACAGGGTGGAACTCGTTTTCTTGAACAAGTTCAGCTAACCTTGAACAGTAATAGCACAACCTACCATTTGTTTTGCACTTACTATGTACCAGGCATTTTACTAGGTGCTTTCCATAGATTATCTCATGTAATACTTACAGTAACCCTAAAAGGAAGATATTAGTTTACAGTTTACAGATGTGTAAGTCACAGCTCAGTGACGTTAAATAATTTTAATTTGCCCAAAGTCACATAGCTTTTTGGTGACAGAGCCAGAATTCAGATCCAGGAGTGTCTGATTTCAAAGACAGTGTTCTTAACCAGCACACTAATTACTGAACTTCAGTTATTTCATCATAAAATCATTACATCTGTCTTGCAGGGCTGCAGCAAAGTTTAAAGATAAAATGCGTAAAGCTTTGTGATAATCTAATGGTGATGATACAGAAATCATCTGTTAGCCCTTTCATTTTCTAGATCAGCAGGCTAAAGCCCTCCCTCCCCAACCAGGGTATGCTCAGTTGTCTAAAATAACACAGCTGCCAAGTGGCAGAAATGGGACTGCAGCCGCATATTCCTTGATTCTCAGTGCAGTGTTGCAGCTCTTCCACATAGCCCTTTGTCACTTAGAACAAACCAGCATTGATTTTCTTTATAAATACTGTGAACTACTGAAATATTTTTTAGAATATTAATAACGTAAAATTTGGTAGTTATATTTTACATCTCCCAATTCAACATTTGCAAGCAACTTTCTCATGGTATACACAGAACACTGACAGCATGTTTGTGACTATCTTTTCTGTGTATGTACTTCCTTCTTGAAGAAGCTCTCTTCCATCTTGCATGTCAAACATCCTTCTAGCCTCTGTTGTCTTAGTAGCCCTAATGACTACCTCTTCAGGTTTTACAGTCTAGAAATGTGAATATAATTAATGCTAAAAATCATGTCATCTTTTCTAACACTCAATTTTTGTCTTCAGGTGTTGGTGGCTTCCTGCCAGCCATGAAACAGATTGGCAATGTGGCAGCCCTGCCTGGAATTGTTCATGTGAGTCAGAGTTCAGAGCTTTAATCATTTATGTTTCTCAAAGTCCATTGAATGGATGAGTGGCCATACCTGATAGTGATGTCATTTAGACAATGACCACTGGACAGCCAGACATAACCATGAAGCCAGGCTAAGTGGCTTATCCACTTCCAACACTTTAGGAGTCCAAGATAGAAGGATTGCATGAGCCCAGGAGTTCAAGACCAGCCTGGGCAACATGGCAAGACCCTGTCTCTAAAAAAAAAAATTAGCCAGGTGCCTATGTCACATGCTTCTAGTCCCAGCTTACTCAGAATGCCGAGTGGGAGGATTGCTTGAGCCCAGGAGTTTGAAACTGCAGTGAGCCGTGATCACGCCACTATCCTTTTAGCCGGAACAACAGCGAGACCTGTCTCTAGAAATAAAAAATAAAAAGAAATAACCATGGACCTAAAGAAATAATTGAATCTGGATGGCATTTCAGTTTCTGGATGCCTTTGGCTAGAATCTATAAGTGTTCAAGAACCTTAGAAGTCGTTTTTATGTTTTCTTGTTTCTTTATCATGGTAACATCATTATTCCTGGATCAGTGTACCACCATTGTAAGTTTCACTGTGGCTCTATCAAGAGGATCACTGAAGAAGAAATGGAAAGAAGTTTAAGGGTGAAGACTGAGGGGAGGCAGAGAGGACACAATAGCTATTCATAAGCCCCCACCACAGTCTAGCACTCATATTCTATCATTAGAGGTGGATGTTGAAAATGAATCTATTCAGCAGACATTTTTGAGGTCCTCTTTATGCCAGTTACCATGTTGGGCACTTGGTAGGGGGAATGAAATCGTATGGCTTGTGCATATAAGGAACTTGTTAGGGTCTGGTATCTTCATATATGCTATGTTTGACCTGCATTCTTCCTGGGTCAGGTACCTTTTCTAGGCTTTATGTGTAGAAAGTTTACAGCCTTTATCCCATCAAATGGATTACATGTCTGTGATTACTTGAACTAATGACCTACATAAATCAGTTAATTTTCCCCTTCATAAGCTGACAAACCACAGTTTGTCAATGTCTTATGATTTTTTTTTTTAATTGTAATAGTACATTAAGCTTAGTATTTGTTACTCCTGTATCATATTTTTTTGAGGCTTTTCTGTTTTGGATTTTCTTAATTAACATTTAGAACTTATAAAAAGGTTTTTTTCTCACTGTATTTAGCTTTGTGATTAGGTGTTCTTAATGATTTCCATCAATAGAGATTTTGTGAAAACAATCTTGATTTAGGAAGCTTCAGCCTGCAGCTTGAGAATCAGTGTCGGGTCCGTCAGGCAACCAGGTGGCAGTTCAAAACCGCTATATTTATTTTCTAATTCTCTTTCAGCGATCTATTGGGCTTCCTGATGTCCATTCAGGATATGGGTTTGCCATTGGAAATATGGCAGCCTTTGATATGAATGACCCTGAAGCAGTGGTATCCCCAGGTAAGGTCACTGTGCATGTCTGCTGTTAAGTGTGTAGCTTTTCTCTATGGGCCACAGCCTTTGGGAAACAGAGCACTTCTTCCCATATGCATGAGTCAGTCTCATCATGTTCTGTCATTTTTTTCTTTGACATTTACTGCAAGTATTAATTGTGGATACTGAGAGGCTATTAAAACATCAAGCAAAGCATATTTTTATTGAAAATTTTGGGAGGCTTCTACCAGATGTCACAGTATTAAGCAAACTGGCAAGTTTTTTTAATCTTTATAACTCAGTTACCTCATGGACAGGTTTGTGTTAATGACCACACATTATTAGTAGATGAGTTCAGCTCTAAAATATTTAGAACAGTGCTAAGCACATAGAACATATTCAGTAATATCATCATTGTAATTCAGTGATGTACAGAAGGTTGTATACGCCTTCTGTTGTGGTATGGGGTGCTTTCAATGAAAACATTCTATACCAGAAGTAATTGCTGTTAAAGAGTGTCAATTTATGAACGAAGTTTAAATGACATCTTGAGAGTTCTGCTTCTAGCAGTGGTGGAATGGGTTGTTTCAGACCAATCCCTTGCTGAAAATAATGAGAAAGGCTAGATAAAGTATTTTTTCTTAAATCTGTTTGAAGACAGAAAATCTGCTAAGGCAATAAGAATTTGCATGGTCAAGATCTAGAGGAAAAGAAGAAAAAGGTCCAGATAGGTGAGCCCTACATGTAGGGCTGTTTTGAGGTGACTGCAAATTTCAGTCAGTAAGAATATACGTTATTTGAATGATCCAGTAACAAACTTGACACCTTGACCTCTAATATATATGTGTGGTTGTATGCTTATGTGCACATGCATTGCTGTGCAGCCAAGCAGTACAGAGTTTACCAAAGCTGACCACATGCTGAGCCGTAAAGCAGGTGTCAAATTTCAAAGCCCTGAAGTCATATAGACCAGCAGTTCTCAAACAAATTATTGAGGATTGAGCTCAAAGACTCATCAATGTTTACCTCATTAGAAGTTAAAACAAAAATTTAAGACAGGAATACATAAGTACATGCTTCATTATCCATTAGAACAAAGATGTTATGTCGTATAGCTTTTGAAAAATCTCACTGTACAGTCATGGGAGAATATGAATAAAAGAGGCAAATAATGTCTTAGTATTATAAAATGAATCTTACAGACCTGAAATGGTCTTCCCCCTAACTCCCACCCCAGGGTCTCTGGCCCATACTAAAGAACCACTCATGGGACAGACCCACAGGGCCCAGCCTGGGAGTATGTGAGGCCAGGTGGCCAGTGACCTGCAGAGGGCTCCAGTGCCTGATCCCAAGAGGGAGAAGCCCACCTTCTGTCTTCTGAGAAGCTCTGAGTCTGGGGTCCTGTTCTTTGAACACCATCTTCATCCCCTCCCCCACACGTATACTTGACATTTTCTAAGAAAATAGATCTTAAATGTTTTCACCAGAAAAAACAGAAGGGAGGTAACGGTGAGATCATGAGTATGATAGTTTGATTGTGGTAATTATTTCTCAATATATACGTACATTGTGTATACCTATATATATATACAGTTTTTATTTGCCATTTATCTCTCAAGCTGGGGGTAAATGGTTTAAAAAATGCTTACAAGCTGGGCAAAGTGGCTCACACCTGTAATTCCAGCACTTTGGGAGGCTGAGGCAGGAGGATCACTTGAGCCCAGGAGTTTGAGACCAGCTTAGGCAACATGGTGAAACCCCATCCCTACAAAAAATACAAAAGTCAGTCAGGTGTGGTGGCACACACCTGTAGTCCCAGCTACTCAGGAGACTGTGGGGAGAGAATTGCTTGAGCCCGGGAGGTAGAGGCTGCAATAAGAGTTTAGCCTACGTGACAGCAAGACTCTGCCTCAAAAAATAAAAGTCCTTATGTCTAAAAATTTGAGGTTATTGTTAATGTCCTTTTTGAATGGAAACATGTAGCCTTAAATGCGCAAACTAGGAAAGAAGAAAGGCTGGAATATCAGTGATCTTAGAAAGTTAAAGAAAGAACAACAAATTCTACCCTAAAAAAGTAGAAAGATGGAAATAATTAGGAGTAAAATTAATGAAATATAAAGATATATGATAGAAAGGGCCAACAAAGTCAAAAGTTGATTATTTGTAAAGACTGAAAAAATTCATCAATCCCTGATAGCAGTAGTCAGGAAAAAAGAGAAGCACATTTTGATCTCTTGTTTTACATATTACTCATTGTTCATTGCCGCCTCCCTGGCCCATAAAGTGCCTTTAGTGTATATCTTACTTTAGATTATCTTGGCGTCATCAGGCTTTACAGAGAACCACTTTGTTGTCTACTTTAAAACATAGTTATCTTTAAAAGAGTGGGTATCTTTCCAGCCCCATATTAATGGTGAGAAACTGAAGGTAACAGTGCCTGACCACCTGGTTTTGCGAACTTTTCTCTATTTTGTAGGTGGTGTCGGATTTGACATCAACTGTGGTGTCCGCTTGCTAAGAACCAATTTAGATGAAAGTGATGTCCAGCCTGTGAAGGAGCAACTTGCCCAAGCTATGTTTGACCACATTCCTGTTGGGGTAGGATCAAAAGGTGTCATCCCAATGAATGCCAAGTAAGAGCACACATTTCCAGTAAATGGAATGGGAGAGATAGTAACCACATGACCTTCAGCTTCCTTTCCAGTGCAGTACACTGGAGAGATGAGGATTGTTCCGTTACTTTTCAGGAAGTAGTAAGAACTGTTTTCTCAGCAGGAGGTTCAGCGCATTTTTTGGAGACATTATTCAACTGATGTTGTAACAGCCTTTGACATTAGAGTAGTATTTATAATAAAATCATATCCACCAACGTTTATCAAGCACTTTCTATGTGTAAGGCACTGAGCATTGATTGTATCACTTCATGTAGACAATAACCCTATTATATTCCCTAACTTACAAGAAAGAAAACTGAGGTTTAGAGAGGTAATAAGCTTAGTGCCAGGCGTGGTTGGGTTTACAGAATCCCAACAGTTTGGGGGGCCAAGGCAGGAGGATTGCTTGAGTCCGGGAGTAAAAGATGAACCTAGGCAACATAGTGAGACCTTGTCTCTAAAAAAAAAAATTAGCTGGGCAAGTGGCTTACGCCTGTAGTCCCACCTACTCAGGAGGCTGAAGTGGTAGGACCCCTTGCGAGCCCAGGAGTTCAAGGCTGCAGTGTGTTGCGATGTCAGTACTGCAACCCAGCCTGGGCAACAGAGTGACTCTGTCTCCATTTTTTTTTTTTTTAAATCTTAGTAGGTGATAGCAGTATTCAAACCAAAGATCCTTTGACTTCAGAAACTATATTCTGAATCCCACTGCCTTTTGTCATTAGCCTATTTAACCACAACCTTCCTTTTTGAATGATAGCAAAATGTGTTCTTTGGGTAAGTAGAGAATTAAATATAATGCTATAGTGTATCTCTCAGATGGCCATAGACTTTACTGTGTCATAGCTTAGGCAAAACAGTGTACCCTAAATTTTGCAGAGTACTTCAATAGCAGAATAGTATGCTAGGTATGTTTCTTTAATGTTTTGCTTTATCCTTCAAATTTATGTGAATTTTGCATTCGAATCAAATGTGTACATAATAGGAAAAACATGTTTTTAGCTGTTACTTGTAACAGCTAAATGTTACGTAACAGCTAAAATGTTACGTAACAGCTAAAAACATGTTTTTCCGATTATGTACACATTTGATTCAAATGCAAAATTCACATAAATTTGAAAGATAAACAAACTCCTCCCAACCACCCAACCAAAACCACACACACACACACACACACACACACACACACACACACACACGCGAAGTATAATCGATACACTTGAAAGATACTTGGTCTGTGATTTCGCATTATCCCTGACAGGCAGCCCCAGTTTTAAAAGCATACTTGGTACTTGGAACACACAAATAAATTTCAGACATCTTTGCAAACGTTTTACATAGGAATTTTGTCGAAATGAGGCTACTCTGGGCACACTGCCTATGGGGTAGCGTGGCTCTGCAAGGAACAGTAAAAAATAATAAAAATAATAATATTGAAATGGGCTGTCATCTAGGGTAGTGGGGAGAGAACACTGAAAAAGTCTAGTTTTTCCTGCCAGTGTTTTAGAAGACAGCTGGACCTTGGATGAAGATTAAAGTTTGTTCCCACTAGGGGTTTAATGTATGTGTACCTCAGCTTCAAAATGGAGGTGCAGTAAGTCACTCAGAACTTTTGTGAAGATGTGAATAGAGCTTAAAATTTAACCTGTGTTGGCTGGGCGCAGTGGCTCACACCTGTAATCCCAGCACTGTGGGAGGTCGAGGTGGGTGGAACATGAAGTCAGGAGATCGAGACCATCCTGACTTAACATGGTAAAACCCCATCTCTACTAAAAATACAAAAAATTAGCCAGGTGTGGTGGGGTGTACCTGTAGACCCAGCTACTCAGGAGGCTGAGGCAGGAGAATCGCTTGAACCTGGGAAGGCAGAGGTTGTGGTGAGCCGAGATCATGCTACTATACTCCAGCCTGGGCAACAGAGAGAGATTCAGTCTCAAAAAAAAAAAAAAATTTAACCTGTGTTGTTTGAGGAATTCTAGATACCTTCATTTATTTGACCACAATTCTTTATAAATTATTAATCAAGTTGTGTACTTGGTCGAATTAGTGGTAGAGATTGATAGCTTGTTAAGGTTACAAAGTTTTGGGGGTTTTTTTTGTTTTGTTTTTTTGTTTTTTTGTCTGCTTAATCACTGCCTCATGGAATTCAGGATCAGAGAGGCAAACTGAATATAAAAAAGACTTGAAAATTAACAAAGAGCCATATAAGTGTCAAGTAGAACTAGAATCATAGCTAATAAGGCATTTACTATTTTATATTGCAATTATTTATGTGACTGCATTACTCAAAAAAAAAAACCAGTTATGGAGAGCTTAAACTTTGTATCTGACTTAAGGAACACAGGAGATAGTAAATGTCCAGTTTTCCTCTGCCCTTTAAAGATGTGGTCATCCTTAGGTTTTGATCTGCCTTTGCTGTGAAGTGACTAGCACCTTTTATACTCACCCAGAGACTTGGAGGAGGCCTTGGAGATGGGGGTGGACTGGTCCTTAAGAGAAGGGTATGCCTGGGCTGAAGACAAGGAGCACTGTGAGGAGTATGGAAGGATGCTGCAAGCTGACCCCAATAAGGTCTCTCCAAGGGCTAAGAAAAGAGGCCTTCCTCAGGTAACGCACTTTGGAGGGGCAACCTGTTCATTTTTTTCTCATATTTTGTTTTTGTTGGGGGAAAAAAATCTATATCTTACATTTAGCAAACATATTCCCAGGTTTCTTTATGGTATATCAAAAAATACAAATTTGTTTATGCTTTCATTTATATTAAAAAAAAAAAAAAAAACTATCAGGGCTGGATGCGGTGACCCCCACCTGCTTTGGGAGGCCATTGAGGATGGATTGCTTGAGGCCAGTAGTTCAAGACTAGCCTCGGCAACGTAAGGAGACTTTGTCTCTAAAAAAATTAAAAAAAAAAAAAAGCACATATCAGTAATCCCAGCTGCTCACAGGCTAAGATAGGAAGATCACTTGAGCCTAGGAGTTTGAAGCTGCAGTGAGCTGTGATCGCGCCACTGCACTCCAGCCTGGGTGACAGAGCAATCAGGAGCTTGCAAATTTTCATAAAATAAATAATGAATTCGAAGTGAATGGGAGAAAAATAGAATATATTTATAAGGTTTATATGTTAAAATTATATATATATATACTTTGCCAGTCTACAAATGGTATCCATGAGATAAGAATATACTAGATGTTTGAAATTACAGCTAGTTCTGAAGGCTTTGCCACTAATTCACTGTGACACATGGGCAAGACTGTCTTCTCTGGATCTCAGTTTCTTCTAGAAAACTGGGATGGTTAAAACTAGGCAACCTCAAAAAAAAAAGCATCGATGATAGACTGGACAGGGAAAATGTGGCACATATACACCATGGAATATTATGCAGCCATCAAAAATGATGCATTCATGTCCTTTGTAGGGACATGGGTGAACCTGGAAACCATCATTCTCAGCAAACTGACACAAGAACAGAAAATCAAACACCACATATTCTCACTCATAGGCGGGTGTTGAACAGTGAGAACACATGGACACAGGGAGGGGAGCATCACACACTGGGGTCTGTTAGGGGGAAATAGAGGAGGGACAGCAGTGGGGGGTGGGGAGTTGGGGAGAGAGAGCATGGGGAGAAATGCCAGATACAGGTGAAGAGGAGGAAGGCAGCACATCACGCTGCCAGGTGTGCACCTATGCAGCAATCTTACATGTTCTTCACATGTACCCCAAAACCTAAAATGCAATTAAAAAACAAACAAAAAACTAGGCACCCTCTAAAGACACTTCCAGAACTGACATTCTCTGGCTCTCTAAATCATCTATTGATATCAGCTCTAGTTGTCGTGTATGTTCTTTCAGTTATAGATAATGTTCATGGTGGATGTCCATGAACTCATAGGTGTTTTAAAAACCGTTTGAACTTGGATCTTGTCTAAGTTTCAACATTCACCAACATTATCCCAAAATTTGACTCTTTGTGATGTTTAAAATATCCCATGAACCATTTAAAAGCTTGTTTTTTTAATGAAGCTTTTTTCTTTAATTTGTTTTACTCTAAGTTCCGGGATACATGTGCTGAACGTGAAAGTTTGTTACATCGGTATACATGTGCCCTGGTGGTCTGCTGCACCCATCAACCCACCATATGGGTTTTAAGCCTCACAGGCTTTAGGTGTTCATCCTAATATTTTCCCTCTTCTTTCCCCCCATCCCCCGACAGGCCCCAGTATGTGATGTTCCCTTCCCTGTGTCCATGTGTTCTCATTGTTAAGCTCCCACTTATGAGTGAGAACATGCAGTGTTTGGTTTTCTGTGTTTTTTTATATGTGTATACCAAGCATATAAAGATATAATAAAATTCAGGAGTTAGTCTACGTTATTTTGTTGTGTAGACTATTGTAAACGAGGCACTTGGACAGCTTAGGAATTTTTTTGTTACTGGAACGCTATTTGTTATTCTGCTGTTAGTTTGTTTTTATCTTTTTGGTTTTTAAATAGATTAAAACAAAAACTAGAATAAAAACTATGTTATCAGACATTTTTACATTTGCAGTTGGGGACCCTGGGAGCAGGCAACCATTATGCAGAAATCCAGGTTGTGGATGAGATTTTCAATGAGTACGCTGCTAAGAAAATGGGCATCGACCATAAGGGACAGGTGTGTGTGATGATCCACAGTGGAAGCAGAGGCCTGGGCCACCAAGTAGCCACAGGTAGATTCTAGACTTCATACCAAAATGTGCATTTTATGGGCAACCAGATAGAAATTTAAGAGAACAAAAACCCTGAAATATACTGCATGGGTTTTATCCTGAGTCCTCAACAATTAAATAACAAACAAATTAACTTCACTGGGCTATAACTTTCTTTTAAAAAAAAATGTGTATAATAATTATTTTATATGGGATTATCATGGAAAGTTAATATATGTAAAGCACTTAAATCAGTGTCTGACAGTAAGCATTCAATACACGTTAGTTGCAGTTATCGTTACATTTACTCTGAAGGGTTACTATCTGGCCAAGAAAGAGCAAGCAAATATTTAAACAGTGGAATTTATGAAGTAGGCATTCATTTAGCAAATGATGTATGTATTATATACCTGCTCTGCAACATTAGGTGTTACGGTGGATTTGCTGACGAAATAGGCAGATACTTTGTACTCACATTGTCTCATGACATTGTCATGTCATGTTCATTTAAAAGGAAAAGTAAATATTAAAAGGTGGCAATTAATATAGGGGAGACAAGCAAAACACATTTAGGAAAAAGATTTTGGAGATGGCTTCATGGATCCAGTGTTGAGCTTTCATAGTTTACAAATGGTATCCATGAGCTAGGAACAGTTTGGACAATTACACACAAAGAACATTGGTGACAAAAAGGCAGCATGAACAGAAGCAGGAAGCAGAGAAATCATGGATAGGTCCTTTCGGATAGCTTGGAGGATGTGTGAAAGAGTTTATGTATCAATGAAAAGGTATATAGACACCTGGAAATTGCTATAAGCTTTAAATGTCATGTTACAGATCAGCCTCTAGTCCATTTTATTGTGTGAGAATTTAATAATTTGTGCCAGCCTGACCCTTTAGACTACTTAATCTAGCAGATGTATGAAGTGTCCACTGGTATTCCAGGGTATTCCAGAGCATTCCACTGCGTGCTTCTCTGCACTTTGTCATGAATTTGGTTAACCATGATGGTGACACAATGTATTTTACTACTACTATTCTCATTCATTCGCATACTGAGAAAGGAGTAATTGAGATCATATTGTGGTTATTTGTTTACACATCCCATTCTCTTTCAAGTTCCAAGAGGACGAATGTTGACTTTGTGTCCCATATACTATCACTGTGCTCTTAAGAGATCCTTACATTCATCTTGGCCGAGCAAATAGATGAACTCAGAAACAAAGGGAAAGTTGTGTTTCACTTGTTTTTTTGTGGAATGAGTTTGAATGTAGCCTGCCTTTCTGCAGTAAATCTGAACTCTTCATTTAAGGGAAACCTAACTGGTTTGGACTTTGCTGCTCTCGTTCCAGATGCTTTGGTAGCTATGGAGAAGGCCATGAAGAGAGACAAGATTATAGTCAATGATCGGCAGTTGGCCTGTGCTCGAATCGCTTCCCCAGAGGGTCAAGACTACCTGAAGGGAATGGCAGCAGCTGGGAACTATGCCTGGGTCAACCGCTCTTCCATGACCTTCTTAACCCGGCAGGTACAGTTGAAGTTGCTTTTCTGTCTGAGTCATTCATGATGAAGTTAAGTGCTCTAAAACGTAGTGCAGTTCAATCAAAGCCTATGGTGTTTGGTTTTGGTGTCTTCTTAAACCAAATAATCAGAGTATCAGGCATAAGGAATGAGAGAAGAGAATCAAAATTACTCCTAGAATTTGTCTTGAACAGCACAGAGAATAGGAGTACCACTGACTATGATTCAGAAGGCTGGGGAAGAAGCAACTTTGAAGGGTGGGATCAAATATAGCCAGGCAGCTTTTTAACCAAAGAGGAAAATGATGTGGTAGCATTTGCTGTGTGGTCTAAAAGACAACTTTTGTCCTTTACGTAAAGATAATCTTACTGCTATTTTTGAATGATTAAATCTTTTACCCCATTCAGAACAGACTACCTGAAATCAATAAGGTAAGTCACAAAGAGCTGAAGATCAGTCTGAAGCTCTGGCTGCTTTTAACTTCTACATTTTCTCCTAGGCTTTTGCCAAGGTCTTCAACACAACCCCTGATGACTTGGACCTCCACGTGATCTATGATGTTTCGCACAACATTGCCAAAGTGGAGCAGCATGTGGTGGACGGAAAGGAACGGACACTGTTGGTACACAGGAAGGGATCCACCCGCGCATTCCCACCTCACCATCCACTCATTGCTGTTGATTACCAAGTATGTAGCCCTGTGTTTGTGGTTTTAAGCAGCGGGAGTATGATTTAGATTGTTGCAAATGTAAATTACATTTAAGCCGAAAAGCAGCAATTGTGAAAGTAAAATACTGTGTCACCCATGAGAACAGCGATTCCCAGTCTTCTCTGAAGCAGTAACTCCTCCCCCGTCCGTGCTTGCAGTGGTGCCACGTGCTAACTACAACGTGCTCATGAAGTATGTATCACTCCACTGCTGTGAATTGAGGCCTTTGAATTAGTGGAAGACGGGAGTAACTCAGTTATAGAAGGCAGAGTAAACTCAGCCTGTTTCATTCCTCCTATCCTCTTGGTGTCTGCCTGTGGTGGAGTCAGACTCCGTAGTCTGCTTGCTCCTTTTACAGATGAGAAACCCAAAACAGAGAAGAAAATCCCTTTCCTCAGGATGGTTGTTCTAGTAACACTTCCCTACACTTTTGGATTTCGCTTTGCTCTTATTTTGACTCTTCTGCATTTTTACTGGTCCTCACATTTTCACTCTTGTCCTCTTCCTTCACTTCTGAATTATCAAAGTACTATCTTAATAATTGTTTACAAGCTGCATGTTTAGAGGTCTGGGTTTCTCCTGCAATTCTACAGTGCAGAAGAAAATTTAAATTTTTTGACTAAAAAGCTTATGCTTTTCTGATTGTTAACATGTTTGGCTTATGTGCATCCTCAGCTCACTGGACAACCAGTGCTCATCGGTGGCACCATGGGAACCTGTAGTTATGTTCTTACTGGCACTGAACAGGGCATGACTGAGACCTTTGGAACAACCTGTCATGGAGCGGTAAGGAAAACAGAAACTTCCTTAGAAATGTTCTCTTCAGTTTAGCTATTGTTTTCCATTTCGACTGGTAAATGTAGCCGATTGAACATTAACAGAATTGAGACTTGGGTCTATCCTGTCTTGTACTTCAAATTGTTCCTCATCATGTATACTATTTAGTGAACTGACAGGGCCACCTAGTGTCTCTACCTAAGTGATATCTGGTAGGGTTAGGGACCGTTTCTTACCTCCGCAAGTCTGGAAAATCCAGACTGGGAAATTATCACACTAGCTGAGCTTACTGTAACTGGTTTAAAGTGATGGAACTTTAACTGATGTTAATAGCACAGTTTATCTCAGTAATTGACTGGACCTGCTCATTTGTTTAATTTACCCCTTCCTATTGTGTAGGTCCACTCAGGATTGGAAGGATAGGCCCTGTTTGCAAATTAGAGCCTATGTGCAGTCTACACACACACGCATTTCAAAACACTGCCTCTCATCTTCTAAGCCCAGGGGTCGGTAAACTCTTTCCATAAAGGGCCAGACTATGAATATTCTGGCTTTGGGGACCAGATGGTCTCTGTACCAGCTATTCAGCTGTGCCATTTCAGTGCAGAGGCAACCTTAAGCACTGTGTAAATGGGCACTGCTGTGTTGTCTTAAAACTTTTAGACCAGGCATGGTTGCTCACACCTGTAATTTTAGCACGTTAGGAGGCCAGGGCAGGAGGAACACTTGAAGCCAGGAGTTCAAGAACAGTCTGGGCAACATTAGCGAGACACTGTCTCTACAAAAAATTTTTTGATCAGCCAGGTGTGGTGACACACCCGTAGTCCTGGCTAAGGCAGGAGGATTGCTTGAGCCCAGGAGATCAAGGCTGCAGTGAGTTATGATTATGCCACTTCACTCCAGTCTGGCTGACATAGGGAGACCGTTTCTCAAAAAATGAAATCGTTTCTTTTAAAAAGCAGATGGTAGACCAAATTTGGCTCATCCACTGTAGTTTGACAGCCCCTTTTCTAAGCCATCCAGAGTGTTGACCCAGTGTTGAAATGGGAAAGAGAAACTGTCTAGAATACCTTCTCGTAGGACAGACCTTCACAAAGGTACCTTAACCCTACTTTTTTCTCTGTTTCTCATTTCTAGCTGCCTCCCAACTCCTAATTTTAACCCAGTGGTTCTCAACAGGAAGATGAACCCCCTACCCCCATGGGGACATTGGCCATTTCTGGAGGCATTTTTTTATTGTTACGGTTTAGTGGGAGTTGCTATTGGCATTTTAGGGGATAGAGGCCAGGGATGCTGCCCTGCCCAGGACAGCCTCCCAACAGAATTCTGTGGTCCAAAATCCAAAAGGATATGAGGAGGCTTAAAACAAAAGGCATGTTATCAGTTTGATAAAGTAAAAAAAGATGGGTTTTTAAGCTCCTTTTTAGTTTAAGAGAACATCAAGGAAAGGGCATATAATCTTAGGGTTTCAGGTAAAGTTCATTCCTTTCCCATTCTAGGGCCGTGCATTGTCCCGAGCAAAATCTCGACGTAATTTAGATTTCCAGGATGTCTTAGACAAATTGGCAGATATGGGAATTGCAATCCGTGTTGCTTCACCCAAACTGGTTATGGAAGAGGTAAGTGAAATTTTGATAAATATTCATTATTTCCCATTTGTAATTTATGCCAGTCTACAGAGATAGCAGTTTGGGGTATTACTAACTGAAATTGTTTGGGTTGTAATTTTTTTTTATGACCTCAATTTTGGCATATCTTTTTTGGTTTATCTTATTTCAGTTTTATATTTTGTTTTCTTTTGGTTAGAGTTAAATTACGAGCCAAGTCCTTAAGAATGATTTTTCACTATTTATATATAATC